ATGACCGGCATGAAGGCGGAGCCAGAGGAGATGGTGCAGAGTGGGTGGGACTGTGTCAGACTGGTTTTCTGATTATAGAATTGGCCTCCCCCAGACTTGGAGTGCTCTTGAGCAGAGGACAGGCTCAGCCAGCTCCGAAGCCAGTATGTTGGGGGGGGCAGGGCAAACCCCCACTGTGGAGAGCGCAGAGGGCAGGGCTTGTCCATGGTTGACAGTCCACAGGAGAGGCGCATAAGCATCATCCCTGGCAGAAGGAGGCCCAAGCAGGGCTGGTCAGGTACCTGCCCAGAGAGCCTCCTCCTAGACCCCAGCCGCCATTCTCTGAGCAGCTAATTAAAAGAGAAAAGCCTGTTCATATTTCAGCACTATTAACCCCACTAAATTATTAAGTGTCCATTTGCATTACATGCATAAAAGAATCGGTAAACATGTGTGTACTAGGAGCTGGGAGGGCGGGAAAGGGGTGGTTTTGAAGGATGCTTCCTGGGACTGTCCCACTGATGACTCAGTTTTGTGTGTCCTCAGCACTGTGTGAACACTCTGGAACTGGAAATGCATGGGGCTGGGCACAAAAGTCAGAGAGTCAGACAGACCCCCAAATAGCCGGGCATCCTTGGGCAACTTAATCTATATTATGAGGTGGGGAGACCTGAGACATAACTCCGCTCACAGCAGTCCCTCCCTACTTCCTGTCTGCTGCTCTGCAGACCTTTGTCCCAGCTCTCGTAGACTGTACCCTTCCCTAGGGCAGGGCTTGGTGCCATCGTGCCCGGACCCCAGCGCCACGCTCAGCCCCTCGCACTTACAGGATTTATTGCGTGACTGATGGAAGCTGGAACCAAACAGGTCTTGATTGCATACAACCTGGCCCAGAACCCTCAGTGATGCTGGCGGGAGGCGGTTAGGGTGTGGTACTTGCCCTGCCTCCTGGCAGCCGGGCAGATGGGGCAGATAGAACCGTCCCTAGGTGGAGCAGTCTGCAGTCCCCCTTCGCCTTTGCTCCTTGCCCATCCCCCACTCTGCTCTGTCTGGAAGTTTCCCGGCTTGCAGACACACTTCCCCTGAAGGAGTCAGGAGCAGGGAGCAGGACACTACCCCACTTGGATACGATTGACCTTTTCAAATGTGGGGTGGGAGGAAAGCTGATGGGGCTTTAATTCAGGTTCCCCTGCATTTTGCTCTGCTGCCTTATTTGGCTCTGCGTGTGCTGTTGCACCCTCATGCATTTGACAGCACCCCTGCCCCTTGGCTAGCAGCCAGGAGAAAACACTCTTGTTGGGGGGTGGGGTCCGTGTTAAATTCCCCTTCTAGGTTCCGGTGAGAATTCTCTTTGGAAGCCCAATGGGCAAGTTGGAATTAGCCTTCACGTGAGCCTTGAGTCTGTGGCTTCCTCACCGGGCCTGCTGGGTGCGGGCAGTCCCCACACCCACCTACAATTTGATGTGTCTACTTTTGGGGGAAGAAAGGAGTGAGCTGATTGGCCAGAAGCACTCTGCTAGGGGCTCACTATTCCTGCCTCAGCCATCTTCATGATGATGTTGCTCCTTGGGTGACATCTCTCATCCCACTTGATATTCTCAGCCAAGGGACTGGTGTGTGTGTGTTGGCAGGGGGAGGGGGTGTTACTTGACTCCACAGCCTTAATCTTGTATTGAGCATCGAATCAGCACTTCTCCACTTGTTATATACAACACTTCTGTCTCTCAAGATGTTAAGAGATACTTTGTGAAGAAAGAGCTTTACGGTCAAATACATTTGGAAAGCATTGGATTGAACCGAGTTAACGGGTGTGTTTATTGCAGGACTTTTCAGAGCCTTTGATAATATACTCTTGTGTGCTGAGACTCTCTGAGGAGAGAAGACGCAGTGTCCTTATTTGTCCGTGGACTATCGATGAACGCGTCATAGCACACAGGTTGGGGGACACATTTTCCTTTTCTCATGAGGGTTTATCGATACAGCGCAGAGAGTGAACTAGGAAAAGTCTTATAGACCCGAGGCAGGGAAACAGCTTGGTTCCAAAATCCTGTCCTGTTTCTGTCCACCAACGTGATATCAAGCAGGGACGATCAAACCCTGCAGCGCCCCTGAAGCTCCTGGGAGCCGGTTACAAATACAGACTCTGAGGCCCAGACCCGGAGAGTCAGAGCCGACGGTCCCACGTGGCCTGGAGATGTGCTGTGACAGGCTCCCCTGGCGACACGAGGCAGGGTCGGGGAGTCCGAGGATGACTGGGCGGGTGAACTGAGAGCCAAGCTGCCGGGTGGAAGTCCTAGCTGTGCTGCTGTCCTGTGTCAGTGAGTGACGTGGGCATTTTCTCCTCCAGGCCTCCGTTTCCTTCCCTGCCAAAGGAGACTAAACAGGGCTTGCCCTTTCCTCCTCTCCGAACCGAGGCGAGGAGCTTGCAAATATACAGTGGAGCCCGGGAATGCACCAGCCCTCGTCATCTGCGGCAGAAAAGCCAGGGCCCTGTCATTGCAAAGGGCATCAGGGCCTGGGAGGGGGCCTGGGAGGAGCGCAGGGTCATTTATAGAAGAAAATGCTGGCCGACACGCTGAGATTGCTCACTGTGCGCCAGACCCGCTTTTAAACACTTTATCCGAGTTTACATATGTATTCCTCACAACAACCCCATTTCACAACTGAGAAAACGAAGGCTTAAGGATGTTGCTGAAAGTCACAAAATAACTCACTGCAAGCTAGGAGTGGGCTGTGGTAAGAGGGGTGCTCAGTGCCCCCCTCCCCCCGTTTTCAAGCCCTCTGAAGCCCTGCACAGCCCTCAACATGAATCTTGACCATATTCATGAAACATCCCCACCAGTTTAATGTCTGCTTCCAGTGTTTCCACCCCTGGAATGTACAGGGGGCCGCAGAGGGGGCTCTCCTCCCCATCTCTCGCTCCATTTGATTGTCTCAGGAGCTGCCATTTAGTGAGAGAGCACATACACACCTACTGTTTGCCAGATGGTTTACCCCTCACACGAGCCCTGGGAGAAGGCATCATTGTTCCCATTTTACAGATGAAGAGGCTGAGGCTCAGAGAGATAAGCAACTTGCCCATTGTCACCCAGCGAGTGGGTAGCAGCGCCAGGAATTCACCCCAGATTGTCAGCTCTTTCCATCTCTCTAACACAGGTCTCTCCTCTGCCCACTGTTCCTGCCACATACCCTGCTTTTGAGTCGTCTTAGCACTCAGCACACTCGGAAGTCATCCTGTTCCTTTCTGTTTCCCGGCTCGTTGTGGGTCTCCCGAAATGCCCTTTCAGAGCCGGCCCTTGTTTGCATTTCCTGATGGCCTCTTCAGCACCCAGCACCTGGCGGCTCGGAGCCTTTGCTGTTCCACAGACTGAATGAAGGGATTATGTTGCGGTGCCTCTTGATGCAGGCCCCGGCCTGGTTGCCTTTGGAGTCAGAAGCTGCTGCTGCTGGCAGAGCTGTCCTGGGCTGTGTGGCGGGGGGGCTGAGGTTAAGTGGGACAGAGCCTCTTGGGGCCTGCCACTCGGTGGGGGTTTCTGTTGGTTCAGGGTCAGAAACAGTTCCAGATGTTCCAGGGGTGAGTGAAGTGGGGCAGGCTAACTCATGCTAATGAAACTCGGTGGGGGGGTGGGAGGTGGGATGATGGACGCACTGAAATGCCAAGGTCAAGGGGGTCTGGGTGGGCTGTGCTAGCCAGCCCTCCTCCAGAGGAGTGTGTACACGTGGGAGAAGTCAGCTGCGGGAAGTGGCTCATCAAGTAGGAGTTCACAGTCTGGTGGGCAGAAAGACAGCACCCTGGATTTGATAGACACACAGACTGATGCGCTGTTGCTGTGCTGGGGGAGAGACCAATACAAAAGGAGGGATCGTGCAGGTCAGTCGTGGGGCACTTCCTGCGGGGAGTTACACGTTTTATGTACAGGTTTTAGCTCACCTCTGTGCACCTCTTTAGGGCCAGAACTGTGTTCACTCCCCATGTCCCTCGTGCCCTGCTCAGCTCTCCCACCTCCACTCTCTCCACCATCAACTGAGCAGACAGGTGTGAACTTGGGGGCTTTGCTCTCCTTCCCAGAGTCCAAGCATTTGTGGGATGGGGGCTGGTTTGCCTTTAGGATGGTGGGGCTGTGTCATTTCCCCTCTGGGTTCCCCCAGCCCTGCGCACTTGGAGAGAGGTCAGGGAGGAGCCAGTTGTTTTTTTAGAACATCCGGGCTCCTTAGGAGAACTTCTGCCCCTTGGAGAAGAGGCTGACACAGGTAGTCTGTGGGGTTGGGGGAATCGCAGGTTAAACTCCCTAGAAGTAGAGCCTGGGTGTTTGGGGGTGGGTACAGTTCAGGCAAGTGATTTGCGGAGAAAATGCCCTCAGGAGGAACTAAGGGGGTGAGGGAAGAAACTGGGCAAAAATGTGGTTAGTCTGACAGCCTGTTCCCGGGGTCTGGGGGTCCCGGGTGGAGTCTGGAGTGTGAACGCACCACAGCCATCCCATCTTGAGGCAAGAGGGCTGAGCATTTGCACCAGCAGATGTGTGTCTATGCTGCGGAAGAGGTGACCTCCTAGGCATTTCTGGCCCAGGCAGCTCCCACTGGCTAAGGGCAATTCCCCGGGGAAAGGGCTCTGTGCACCCAGCAGCTGTTACTCAGAGCAGCTGGGGATGGAAGCCGGGCCAGCTGCAGGAAGCTGGGTGGAGCGCCACAGCCTCCACTGCAGGGGCTGCTGAGACAACTGTGCTCACTGAGTGACAGTCTGCACGGATTACAAAGCCCCGACCCTCATCAGCTCACTGACCAGCACAGACCTCTTGCAAGGGAGGTGGGATGGGGAAGAATTGCCCCTCTCCTGAGTTCCTGGCCTCTCTGGTTCTGGCCTAGGGGTTCTGGGAGGATTCTTTCTTGAGCTCAATGGGGTCAGGCCTCTGAAGAATGACCTGGGAGGTCTGGGCTGATCCCTCCCTCTGGCATATTCAGGAGGGAGTCTCAGACCCCTTCTAGCCCTGGTGCCTCTCGTCTAAACCTCCCGCTCTTTGCAGCCCCAGCCCAGGCCCAGATCGTCCACGCAGGCCAGGCGTGTGTGGTGAAAGAGGACAACATCAGCGAGCGCGTCTACACCATCCGCGAGGGCGACACCCTCGTGCTGCAGTGCCTTGTCACCGGGCACCCGAGGCCCCAGGTAAGCCCCTATCCAGCCTGTGCGGCCCCTCTCGCCCTCACTCCTCCCTCCCACCCCACTCTGGGATCAGAGCTGGGGACTGGAGTCAACAGTGGCAAATACAGAGAAGATAGGAGATGGGGCTGGGAAATAGCTGGAAAATGAACTCTGGGGAAGGCTGGGGGCTGCAGGGTTATTCACCTGAGAACATGAATGGCCAAGGGAAAACCTGAATGTCAGTTATTCGATCTCACTCCACCGTCATGTCTGTTAGCAGACACATCCTCAGATACACCTTCAGCACCGTTTGAGGGTGTGTGCCAACACTGTACTAGGTGATTTCTCCAGTGTTTTCTCTTTGGCTCCTCATAAACTGCTGTGAGGAAGGCATCCGTGCCCCCATTTCACAGCTGAGGAATCGAGGTTCAGGGTCACATAGCTCTTGTGAAGGTGGAAGCAGAATTTGAACGCAGAACCAGTGTTCTCTGTAGCTTGGCACTTCCTCCTAGTGTATTTGTTTTTGGATTGGGAGCTCCAGGAATTACCAGCAACATAGAATACAATCTACTTCAGGAGGCTTCCGGTAGGCAGGCCCTACACTCTTGAGATTAAAAGACTCAAAGCAATTAGAAAGCAACAGATGCTGAGTATCTGGAAATGCCAGGTGAATTTTGTCCCAGACCAACTGAATGATTCAGACAGGAAGTGTGAGCTGGTTATCACTCAGAGCTGATGGGAGGAGGCGGGAGACGGTGGGCTGGAGGGACGGGTGGAATTTGCTGGTGAGCTGCTGTGACCTTTAAGAGCAGCAGAAAAGGTTTCGATTGGATCCTAGGAAGGAGAGTGAAGTGCGAAACCCTTTTTTCAGGATAATTTTGGGAACAGGGGTGGCTTTCGTAGGTTTGGCCTTGAGACAAGCAGATGGACAAGGAAACCCCTAAAGACTCTGTCAGCCTGAAACCAGGATCACTGCTTGCTCCTTCTCAGAGGTCTGTTTAGAAGTGAGAGTGATGCTGCCAGTCTTCAGGCTGGTGTTTGTGTCAGGTGTGACCATTAGGGATGGTTGTCCCTGCCGCCAGGGAGGCAGCTGGGCCGTCTCTCCGTGAGGCTGCACCGGCCACCTGTGTGTGTCCCCTTGCGCATCACGCGTGTGAGTCGTCTGTGGCTGTGGCTGCCTGTACACGTGTTCACTTTTCTGTTTCCATCCATGATGTCATTGTTTTTCCTGCTACTTAAGCTCAAACTCCCGGGCTTATATTTGACTCTGTCCCATCTCATTCCCCACATATAGCCAGCCTCTGGGGCTTTTCTTTTTATGCCCTCACATGGGTCTTCCCTTCTCTATTCCCCTTTACTCCTTTAGGTCAGACCTTCCATCTTGTTCCTTGGTCCACTGCAGTAGACTCTAACTGGCTTCCCATTCTCCCAAATTACCCTCTCCAATCCATTCCTGCTCCCTGATCCCAGAATACTCATTCTACAGCCTGCTATGACATATCACTCCCCTGCTCAGAAACCTTCGATGGCTCCTCATTACCTGCCAGACCCAGTTCAGGTTCCTGGAGGTAGAATTGAAGATCTCCCACAATCTGGCCCCACCTGCCTGCCCCGTCTCATCTCCCCCCGCCGTCCTCTTCACACCCTGTCCTCCAGTTGAACTTGCCCAATTACACCCTGTTCATTCCTGCTTTGACCACTGCTGCTCACCTCTTCTAGTTCCTCTTACACTTATTTTATTACAACAAATATTTAGTGTATACTTGCTACATGCCAAACACTGTGATGGGGCCCAAGGATACAACTACGGTTCCTGTTGTCATGGAGTATTCGGTCTTGGGGGGGGGGGCAACATTTTGTGGTCGGGGTTTGGACTGAGTGGTCATGGAATTGTCCATTCCAAATATCAAGAAAGAGGGAATTCCTAGGGCCAGAATGAAGAAGGTATCTATAGTTATGGTAGTGAGCTGAAGTTGAAGAACCTTGGAGGGACTTGGACTACTTGGACATCAGGGCCAGTAGTATTGAGGCATGCATGGAAGGGATACGAGTTGAGGCCACAGGGCCTTCTGTAGCTAGGAGCTGGAATGGCACTCTGTCTAAAGCTGGAAGCTTGACAAGAGTAGTATCACCTGTAAATGGGGACCAGAGACCTCTGTCCCACAGCCAGAGGCACAGCAGAGAGCAGACTCTGTTTTAGGATGTGGGTGCAAATAGTCACCTATGAGAGCCTGGCTGTGTCTTGCGCTATCCAAGTGGTAAGAAAATCCTAAACTGAGAAACTAACATAAAAACTGGTTGAAACCTATGGACCCATGTATCTTGGGCATAGTCAACCACAAAGCTACAGAACAGACAGGCCTGTTAGGCCTAAGTGGGACTTCTGTGGAAGTCCCACTGATACAAGCCTGTGGAGTAAAATTTTAAAACTCATTTTAAAAATACAGTGCAAGGAGAGCCAGTCTCTAGACTCAAAATAATTGAACAATTCATATCTGAGGAAACGGATAATAGAACAATTTGAATAAAATAAATGTTTAAAATGTCTAAAGAGATAATGGAAGAAATATAATCCACAAGACAGGAGATTATAAAACCTGATCAGTTAGATATAAAAAAAAAAAGTAAATAGAAATCCTAGAAAACAAAATAAATTTTTGAAAAATTTGGCCTTAATACCACAGAGATAACTAAAGAGAAAATTAATGAATTAGATGCTGGATCTGAGGAAATCAGCCACAATGCAGACTGGAGAAAACAAAGAGATGGAGACATGAAAAGGAAGTTGGGAGACAGGAGGATAGAATGAGAAGCTACAACATAAACCTAGGTGTTCTAGTAGAGACTAGAGATAACAGAGAGAAAGCAATAATTAAAGAATTAAGGGCTGAGAATTTTGTAGACTTGAAGAAAGATGCCACAGACGGTTCTGTGGCCTTAACTCGCATCCCCTCCATGCATGCATTCATACTACTGGCCCTGAGGTCCAAGTAGTCCAAGTCCCTCCAAGGACCAGTTTCTTCAGCCTTCAAATGGATAAAGCAAATCATGTCCTAAGCAGTATGTAAACAAACCCCATCTAGGCAATTATGTTAAAACCACAAAAGTCAGGTACAAAAAGTAAAAATATTTTCATGGCCTTGTTCTTTCTCCAAAGCACCCTCTGGTCTAAGTAGGGATGACCTAAAACTGCCTTTGTCCTTCCCCAAGTTTTGTAAGCTCTAAGTCCATGAGGGTAAAGTTAGGAGTGTTGAGGCGATGAGAGTAGCAACATTATGGCCTGCAGTGGCTCCTCCCTGCATGAGAAGGTGCCCTTTCACCTATGACCTATGGCCTGACCTGTTCACCAGGATCAGGGCTTGCCCCATCTCAGTAACAAGCAGTACTTCTCAACTTTAAGATGGAAGCTTCCCTACCTCATCCTCCAATCCTTAGGATTTAGTAACCTGAAACTGATCAGTTTTCTTAAACCTCTGATACTTTGAATAGTAGCCTCAGTTTCTTGTGTGATCCTTGATAGTGTCCCCTAATCTGTGGCAAGGCTAATAATAATAGACATTTATTGAGTAACTCATATATAACAGGCCCCACACTTAGGTGCTTTACATACTTAGTTTCTAAACATCACAATGACCCTGCAAAGTGGGTGTTATGCTCCATAATAGTTATAGTTATCTATTGCTGCATAACAAATGCTCCAAAATTTAGGGGCTTAAAACAAAACACTGTCTCACGTGTGTGTGGGATAGGAATCCCGGGGTGGCTGAGCTGGCTGCTGCTGGCTCAGGGTCTCTCGCCAGTCATTTGAGGACTGTGGGGATGGAGGATCCCCTTCCAAGCCAACTTCCGTGTGGTTGACTGAAGCTTCCCTTCCTCCCCCGTGGACCTCTCCACAGGGTTGCTCATGACATGACATCTGGCTTTTCCCAGAGCGAGTGACCCGAGAAAGCAACTATGGTGGGGGGAATCACAGACTTTGATAACCTGATATTGGAAACATACATCACCCTGCCATGTTCTATTGGTCACACAGACCATCCCTGGTACAGAGTGGGAGGGGACTACAGAAAGGTTTGGATACCAGGAGGCAGGGACCATCCAGGGCCATCTTGGAGGTCGGCTACCACATAGACCTCTTGCATAGATGAGAAATCTGAAGCCGAGAGATGAGTAACCTTAGTTTTCCAGGCACTAAATATACATTAATTTAACCTTCTCAGTAACCCTAGGAGGGGGATTATATTCCATTTTATGGATGAGGAAAGGAAGTCAGGAAAGGTTGGGTAACTTGCCCACAACCACTGGCTCCTAACCACCGCTCATACTGCTTTCTTTAAAGCCTCATCCATCTGACCCCCGATTCCCCAGGCTCTTGGCTGAGGCGTCCTACCCTGCCTGCGCATTCCCACAAGTCTGTCTGGGTTAGTTTCCCAGGTCTGTGTATGCCCCACGTGAGCTTGTGAAAAATCATGGGGGTGGGAGGGGAGACGCACTGCAGGGTTCAGCCTGGAGGATACCCCACCCTCACTGCGGGGTCTGAATCTGCGCAGCCCTGCCTGCCAGGTGCGGTGGACCAAGACGGTGGGCAGCGCGTCAGAGAAGTTCCAGAAGACATCCGTGTTCAATGAGACGCTGCGCATCGAGCGCATGGCGCGCAAGCAGGGCGGCAGCTACTACTGCAAGGCGGAGAACAGCGTGGGCGTGCCCGCCATCAAGTCCATCCGCGTGGACGTGCAGTGTGAGTCGGCGCCCCTCCTGTCCCTCCTGGCCTTGCCCTGGACGTCACACGCCCCATCCCTCGTCCGTCCTGGCCCAGGGAGGCGCCCAGGGGCTCAGGCTGGGAAGGAGGAGTGCGAGTGGAGTGCCCTGGAGAACCGACACCTCCGGGGAGGACAGTAGAGGCTCTCCCTCTTCCATGCTGGAGAGGGAAATCCCTGCTGCATCTCCGACGTGTACTGCCCGAGGCCACTCACACATTCCCATCTGTAATCCCATATGAACCTCGCAACATCCCTGCAAAGTGAGCAGGGAGGGCAGAACAGGCTGGATCATACCCATTGCACAGATGAAGAAACTAAGGTACCGAGGGCTTAAGACTTGCTCACGGGCATAGGTGTCTTCATTACGGTCCAGTGCCCTTCCCACAGTACCTCATGCCTCTGCTTTTGTCCTGGGGCAGCTGTGAAACTTTCTTACCCCACCCAATGCAGGAGCAAGCACCCCTCAGTTCTTGCTGCTGCTTGAGAGGGAAGCCCCAGTTTCTGCCTGACCCCCATGGATATTCCCTTAACCCCAAGAGGCTGTCTCCCTGCTTGCCACCCACCTCTGCCTATCCTGGCTGACCCAGGTACCCAGCTCCTGTGGGGCCAGGCCCAAGGGCCTTATGCCATCTTAATGTCTACCATGTTTGCCATGAACCTACCCCTCATGCTCCCCTTTGGTGCCCAACAGAGTGGTGAGCAATGGAACCCCAGGCCCTTTCTTCTGTCCCCCATCAGCCACCCAGGGGCCTCCCAAACCCTGGGGCTGAGGGTCACTTCTCGAGTTATTGGTGCTGGAAGGGGCTGGCCGGCATGGCCTGGACTTCAGCAATGCCCACCTCTGCCCACGACCTTGGTGATGGTTTCTATCTAAGTGGGCTGTGGAAGGAGGACAGAATGTTGGGATGTCGGAACATCCTTTGTAGGATGTTTGAATGTGGAATGTCGGTGCCTTTGGTTCACAATCCTGGTTGCACATTAGAATCTCTACGGGAGCCTTTTAAAAAATACTCATGTCTGGGTCCTACTTTCAGAGATTCTGATGTAATTGATTGGGGGTGGGGCCCCGACATTGGGACTTTTTTTATTGAGGGTTAATTTACATCCAATAGAGTGCATTAATCTTACCTGTACAGTTTAATGAAGTCTTACATATGCATGTGTTAACACCATCCAGTTCAAGAGAATTTACCGGACCCTGGAAAGTTCCCTCATGCCCCCTCCCAGTCAGTAATCTTTTCAGAGGCAATCACTCTTTTGATTTCTGACACCATTAATGAGCTCTTCCAGACATCAATATTAAAAAGAAAATCTCCATGTGATTCTATTGTGCAAACAGGGGTGAGAACTGCCAATCTAGTCCGATTTACCAGTGAGGAAACAGGCAGAGAAGGGACTTAGGCAGGTCATACTACAAATTGATAGCTAGCCTGGGATTTGAACCAGGGTTTCCTGATTTCCAGTCTGCAGCTGCTTCCTCCATCCCATGATGGGAGGGTGAAGATAGACAATCCCCTATGCAGGCATCAAGTCCAGTTCCCTAATTCTAAAGGTCAAGCTTGCAGGGCTGGGAGAGCATCTGGCTTTCTGGAAGCATCCTTGAGGGTGGCTCAGCTTTCCCTGAGGCTGCTACCAGAAGCCCAAGCCCTCACCTCCTTGGGATCACCCAGTCTTGACTCCACTGGGGCTGTGCCCTTGCAGACCTGGACGAGCCGGTGCTGACGGTGCACCAGACAGTGAGTGATGTTCGAGGCAACTTCTACCAGGAGAAGACGGTGTTCCTGCGTTGTACTGTCAACTCCAACCCACCTGCCCGCTTCATCTGGAAGCGGGGCTCGGACACCCTGTCCCACAGCCAGGACAATGGAGTCGACATCTATGAGCCCCTCTACACCCAGGTCAGGACGGGCAGTAGCTGGCCTGGTCTCATCATGGCTCACTCTACACTCTTCCTCCTGTGCCCAACAAGGGAGGTGGGCAGGGGGCTGGGGCCTTACCATCTGGAGTTCCTGGGACTGCTCTGGCTAAAACAGTATGTTCCGATATCGGAAGCATGCATTCTGGTTGGACTTCAGACACCACGGGGCAGACAAAATTGATACAGAAAGCTCAGGGAACAGTGATGGGGAGGGAGAGTCCCCAGGGCAACATGTCCTTCTGGAACATTGCCAGTTAGGAAATGCACCCCCTAGAGTCAGGCAAGCCATCCCTGCCCGCTGCTGGCTGTCATAGTATTGAGAATCCATGGGCAGGCACTGCGGGAGTTGGGGCAGAGAGATCACTTCACTTCCCATAGGTCCCCTACAGTCCCAAATGGTGATGAAGCCATCCTACCAGGGAGGGCTTTCAAAGGTGGCTTTCCTAGGTGGCTGTCCGAGTGTCACAGGTGGCCATGCCTGTAGGGCCAGCTCCGTGTTTGTATGGGTTGCAAGACAGGGCAGGGCCCCCTCCTTACCACTCCATTTCCCAAAGCGGAGAAACAGAGGCCTGGCTCTGGCCAGTATGCACCAGGGCAGCCGTAGACCCAGAGAAACCCTGGGTTGGAGAGCATCCCCCCAGACTCAGGCTCCCTGGGGATAAATGGTGTGGAGGTTGGGAAAGATAGGAATTAGAACAGGAATTTACGTTAGCCTCTGTCTGGGTAAATATGTGAGGGACGCCTGGAGACCCAAGCAGACCCCTCACACCAGTGGTCCACTGCTGCCCAGGGGGAGACCAAGGTCCTGAAGCTGAAGAACCTTCGGCCCCAGGACTACGCCAGCTACACCTGCCAAGTGTCTGTGCGCAATGCATCCCCAACAAGGCCATCACTTTCCGGCTCACGAACACCACGGGTATAGGCACCTCCCCCCCATACCCTCGCCCACCTGAGCTGACTCCCCAATCCGGAGACAGTGTCCCAACCCACTCAGGACTCTAGGCAGTCACTGCTAGTGCCTCCTCCTCCCCTCTGCCCGCTCTCTGCCTTCTCCCCCTCTCTCTTCTCCACCATCCTTCCCCAACCCCATGGTTTTCCCAGATCCCCATATCCCCACATTCAGCCCTGCCTCACAGTCCCCTAAGTCCCCACCTCCTTGTCCTCTTAGCACCACCAGCCCTGAAGCTGTCTGTGAATGAAACTCTGGTGGTGAACCCTGGGGAGGATGTGACGGTGCAGTGTCTGCTGACAGGCGGTGATCCCCTCCCCCAACTGCAGTGGTCCCACGGGCCGGGCCCGCTGCCCCTGGGGGCTCTGGCCCAGGGTGGCACCCTCAGCATCCCTTCAGTTCAGGCCCTGGACTCTGGCTACTACAACTGCACAGCCACCAACAATGTGGGCAACCCCGCCAAGAAGACCGTCAACCTGCTGGTGCGATGTATGTGGCTCCCAAAGGGTGGGAGGGAACTCAGAGGTAGACAGGGTCCCTGTCCTCCAGGAACTAAGAATGAAATGGGAGAGGGTCCTGTCTGCTTCCTCTTGGTAGGTGATACAAGCTCAGGAGGTTATGTTCTAGGCACTTTTATTTTCCTGCAATTCAAGTGTCTGCCAGCAGATGGCAGGGTTAAAATTTGTGTAAAGTTTTATTTACAATTTACAATCTACATCTCCAAATATAACTTCAACAATCCAATAGGTAGGAAAGCCTGGTATTGAGTACCTACATTTTTTTTAGATTGGTAAATCGAGGTTGCAAAAAGCTAAATATAGACTTCCAGTCTTCAGGAGATATTTCTTAGCTTTCTTTTTGTACACAAAGTTAAAGTGAAAATAACACACATTTCCACATACCTCATGTGTATTCTTTTTTGTTGTTGTTATTGTTGTTAATCCTCACCTGAGGATATTTTTTCATTGATTTTCACAGAGAGAGTAGAAAGGAGGGAGGGAGAGAGACAAACATTGATGTGAGAGAGACACATTAATTGGTTGCCTCCCGCATGACCTCGACCAGGGCTGGAGATCAAACCCACAACCCAGGTACATGCCCTTGACTGGTAATCAGACCCAAGACCCTTCGGTCCACAGGTTGATGCTCCAACTGCTCAGCCAAACCAGTCATGGCTCATGTGTAAATCTTTACTAGCAAAGCATTTCAGTGAGTCTGAAGATAATTATTAAATGTAAATTGATAGAAAAAACTTGGGAGTATGATCTAAAGAAGTACAAACACTTTTCTTACTAAACCTCAGCCTCAGTAGTTAGCATTAGCTGCTTGATATGATCTTGATTTTCTGCTTTGAGGAGAAGACTTTAAATTCTTCTGCTTGTGTAGCTATTAGGTTATTACATACATATTTAAATATACAGTATGTTACCAGCTCTTTAGCATTTGAAAGTAAAGTATAGCTTCTGCGAAATTTGACTCAGAGTCTTCTGAAGAAAGGAACACATTTTGTTGTTGAACTTTCACTCACCAGTCTTCCTCTGACTCTCCTTACAAGAAGAAGCTAGTTCTCTATGATTTTTTACCTAATCAGAGCAAGAAAGAGAGTAGCAAGATTGTGGCTAGCTGATGACTATTTTTTCCCTTAATAGTACTTTTCCCATGGGAAGATTATTTCTCTCCACCTGTTTTTATTTAGCCTTTAAAACCCAAGTTGATGAGATCTCAGTTTACACCAGAAACTTATGGTCATTTCTTATGGTGACATAGAGCCTGCTTTGCCCAACCCAGTTCTGGTCCATGGCTGTCGTACCAGTGCCCTGTCCAACTAGCATCCAGTATTAAGAGTTCTAACTCTTAGATTATGTCAAACAATATTTAGATTTTTGAAAGAAGTTAGACCCTTTTCTTTCTAAACTCTGTTTTAATGTAAGTACATGTAAAATTATTGCATTGGGCTTTTATTATAAAAATAATGCAAACTTGCTGCCAAGAGTTAAATAGCACAAAAGGGTAAAATGTGCAAATTAAAATTTCCTCAATTCTCCTCAGTCTCACTGTCTAGATAGAACCAGTGTTACATTCTAGTGCATCCTTCCAAAATTTGTATTTTGTTCATTCAAGGTTTAAAACAAGAATACAAGTAAGGCAGTATAGTGGTTAAGAGCATAGGCTCTGAATTAAACTGTCTGAGCCTCAGTTCCCTCCTGTAGAATGGGGACACTGAGTGCCTTCCTCACAGATTGTGGGGTGAGTTAAATGAATGAACTGGTGTAAGGTGCTCGGAACAGTGTGTCTCACATAGTGTATGTTCAGTCAGCAGTGACGCTCATCGTTACTAAACCCACTTTTCTACAACGAGTTTTTTTGAACTCTTAAAAACACATCTAAACAAGCAGAACAATTTCCAAGCAAAATGATGGTTTCTTGTGGTGGTGGTGGTGGTGTAGCTCCCAACCTGCAGGAGGGCCACTTTGAGGGGAGGAGCTGGGTGTGGGTAGGGGTGGGACGTAGATCCTGGCTTTGGGCCAGTACCAGCCACCCTCCCCTCCCCATCGCCCTGCAGCCATGAAGAATGCCACGTTCCAGATCACCCCAGACGTGATCAAAGAAAGCGAGAATATACAGCTGGGCCAGGACCTGAAGCTGTCATGCCATGTGGATGCGGTGCCCCAGGAGAAGGTGACCTACCAGTGGTTCAAGAATGGCAAGCCAGCACGCATGTCCAAGAGGCTGCTAGTGACCCGAAACGACCCTGAGCTGCCTGCTGTCACAAGCAGCCTAGAGCTCATTGACCTCAACTTCAGCGACTACGGCACCTACCTGTGCGTGGCTTCCTTCCCAGGAGCACCTGTACCTGACCTGAGCGTCGAGGTCAACATCTCCTCTGAGACAGGTGAGCAGCTGGAGGGGCAGCAGGGAGGTGGGAGGGAGCTGGAGAGGCCCAAGGAGGGGAGGTGGGGCAGCAGCTTGGGGAAGGGAGTTCCCAGTGGAGAAACTTCATTAGTTCATGCCACACACATTTATTAAGCACCTGTTACATACCAGGCACTGTGCTAGGTGCTGGAGTAGAGTGGCGGGCAAAATAGACTATGCCTTCATTGGACTAAGTAGGAAGGCAAACATTTTTAGATAGTCTCATAAATATGTCACTGCAAACTGCGATACATGAGAATCAGGAAAGAATTTTCTAAGGTAGACTTCAATCTGACATCTGAGGAGGGGCAGGGTTTTACTAGACAAAGGAGAGCAAGGTAGGATGGAACAGGAAGGGAAGCCAAGGAGCCAGCGTGTGAAAAGGCACTGAGGCAGGGAAGTGTGTGGGCCATTTGTAGAACTGCAGGAGGAGAGTGTGGCTGGGAGAATGGAGTGAGATGAGGGTGGAGAGGTCACTAGAGGCCACATTACGCAGGGGAATTGAGTCTCTGTTCCAATGATAATAAATAACAATAATGAAATAATAATGGTTAACATTTATTGAGTATTTACTATATATTCTGATGATTTTGTATTTATCTCATTCAAGTTCATGATTTACCTTATGGGGTAAATTATCTTCAATTTTTAGAGATGAAGAAACAGGCTCAGAGAGTTTAAAAAACTTACCTGAGGTAACACAACAGTAAGTGGTGGAGCTGGGATTTGAACTCAGGCAGCCTGCCTTCAGAGTCTGACCCCAGCCACCCCTGAAGGGTTTATATTTGAAGATGACAGGAATTTGGAGGGGATGACTTTGGAGAGGGTCTCGAAAATCTCATCTCCAGTCCCCAGCACATTGTACTGAGGAGCTGGCTGACTTGGGCTAAGCCTCTTTAACTCTCTGGGTCTTGGTTTTTCCTCTGTGATACATTGAACCAGATGGCATTGGTGGCCCCTTCCATCCTGACATCTGCACAGGGAGAAGCCAGGTGAAGCTAGAGAGGTCAGGAAAGGCTTCCGGAAGGAGACTGTCCTGAACTGGGCTTTATGAATGGCCAAATCTTCACAGATTTCACAGATTTATTTCACCAATTGCTGTGTGCCAGGCCCTGGGTGAGGAGCTGGGGACCCAGATACGAATGCCAACCCTGTTCTCAGAGCCCACTGCCCAGCCTGGGAGATACACCTGATGGGATAAAGCAGGAATTGGAAGGGCAAACCTTAGGAGCTAAAGGCAGGATCTGCAGAGCATCTTGAGGCTGCCAGGGCATGCCAGGAAGGCTTCACAGAGGAGCTGTTCTCCATGTGAGCACTTGCCAGGTGAGGGGACAAGCCAGAGAGAAGGGATGAGGCACCCCTAAGTGTACTAGGCTTGGCTTGTCCAGGGAGTATATTCCTGACAAGTGGATCCCACAGCTGTGACTCAGGATGGAGAGGGAAAATGAGGCTGGGGTGCAGAGGCCAGAGCACAGGGGCCTCCTTTGCAGAGCCAAGGAGTTTGAGCTTTAACCTGAGGACTTCAAATGGGGGAGACATTAGCCTGAGGGGGTAAAGGAGGGTTGGAAGCTGTGATGTTTTAGGAACAGGGAAATCAATGGGACACAGCCATTTTCTCCATTTGGTTCATAATCCTAATGCTTAAGGCATGGAAGCTTTCTAAGGGCCTGTGGAAATGGTTTAGACCTGGAAAAATAAATAAATTGGCACCAAAATACAAAGAGAAAACTGCAAAATTAAAGCCAATAAGTGTATAAATGTATATAAAGTATAAATTATGCTAACTAAATAACTGGACCTCAACATGCCTTGTAGAATTATTTGAAATTTATCTTTAATGTAGGGCATTTTAATGTGTTTGATGTGATGTGGGATAGGACCCATGAAACTCTTTTTAAAAAAATATATTGTTTAATCCTCACCCAAGGATATTTTCCATTGATTTTTAGATACAGTGGGAGGGAGGCAGGGAGGGAGAGAGAGAGAGAAACATCAATTTGAGAGAGAGAGACATGGATTGGCTGCCTCCTGCACAGGGGCTAAGGATAGAACCTACAACTGAGGTATGTGCTCTAGACTGGGGATTGAACCCGTGACCCTCTAACCACTGAGCCAAACTGGCCAGGGCAGGACCCATGGAACTCTTTAAAAGACCCTCCATTTGGACATTGTGTTGGATTAGTTTTGGCTGTGAATAACAGAAAAACCCTAAATAAAAGTGCCTTGAATAAGTTAGCTGTGTATTTCCTCTTCATGCAAAAGTGAGCAGTCCAGGCTGGAATAGCGGCTCTGTTCCACCAAGTCCTCAGGGCCCCACACTCCATCATGTCTTGCTGTTCCATTATCCTTAGCACGTGCCACCTCCTCCACAGCGGCAGTTCCTGCTGCAGTCATCAACCTGCATTCCAGCCTGCAGGAAGGAGGAAAAGAGCAGTGTGACTTCTCCCTTTATAGACACTGGTTTTCTGTCAAATCCCACTGGCCAGAATTTAGTCACATGGTAGCCATAAGGCAAGCTGGGAGATACAGTCTTTATTCTGGCCACATGTCATTTTATTTTATTTTATTTTTTTACTTTGGATAAAAGGGTAAGGATATTGGGGATACAGACTAGCCTTCTGTGCTAACACTCCAGAAAGAGATGGTGGCTTTAACTAGGGCAAGACCAGTGGGCAGGAAAAAGGAAATTGAGAGAAGATATTACTAGAGCTGTTTAAAAGGTGGAACCCCCCAGAAGTAGTAATGTTGAGGTAAGGAAAAAGACGGAATAGGCTAGGACGAGTTAGCTCTTTCTCTGAGTTGGGAGAGCCTGCGGTAGAGACCCAGGAGGTGGAGAGGATGGGGGAGGTGGATTCTGCTTGGAGATACTGAGATCTGTGGGAAGTCTGGGATGGGGAAGGGAGGGTCGCACCTAGGGAGAGGGAATCAGAAGCCCCAGAGCGGAGGCCAGGGGGGACCTCTCACCTGCTCCCACCCCCTCCCCCAGTGCCACCGCCATCAGCGTGCCCAAGGGCAAGGCCGTGGTGACCGTGCGCGAAGGCTCGCCCGCTGAGCTGCAGTGCGAGGTGCGGGGCAAGCCGCGGCCGCCTGTGCTCAGGTCCCGCGTGGACAAGGAGGCTGCTCTGTTGCCCTCGGGGCTGCCTTTGGAGGAGACGCCGGATGGGAAGCTGCGGCTGGAGCGCGTGAGCCGCGACATGAGTGGGACCTACCGCTGCCAGACGGCTCGCTATAATGGCTTCAACGTGCGCTCCCGCGAGGCCCAGGTGCAGCTGAACGTGCAGTGTGAGTCCCCCTGCCCCACCTGGACGACCTCCCTGTTTTCTCCAGGCCTGCCCGCTCTTTACCCCTTCACCCACCCCAATCCAACCAAACTCCACCTACTGCTGATACTCCTAAATCCTCGATACCTTGACACATGGGAAACCAAGTTACTGAGAGGTTAAGTAACTTGAGTGCGTTCTCACAGCTAAGAGGTGGGGCTGGGGTTTGAACCTAAGTAATCTATCTCCAGGGATCGGGCTCTAAATCCCGACGTTATGCTGCTTTTCTTTTCTTTCTTTTTTTTTATCCTCACCCGAGGGCATTTTTTTTTTTTTTTGATACTTTGTTCAGATAGAGTGGGAGGGAGAGAGAGAGAGAAACATGACGTGAAAGGGACACATGGAGTGGTTGCCACCCACATGACCCAACCAGGGCCGGTACAAACTGCAACCGAGGCAGTGCCCTTAGCGAGAAGGAACCCAGGTCTCTCCAGACCGCAGTCCAAGGAGGCCATGCCAACCGCTGAGCCAAACGGGCCAGGGCTGCTGCTTTTCATCACACGGGGCGCGAAGGGGCCATCTGAGGCTTGACTAGATCCCCAGCCTGGGACGCGAGGCTGGAAGGAACAGCCAGGAGGGAGTAGGCATGTGCAGGTCGGGGAGATATGAGCGTGGTTATGGCACGAGTGTGTGGCGAATGTGTATCCGCCTTGAGACCTTTCCAGGCTGGGGGCACGGGAGTAGGGGCCGCTCCGCAGACCCACCTCGGCCACGCTGACCGCCGCCCCGCCTCCGCCCCCAGTCCCACCCGAGGTGGAGCCCAGCTCCCAGGATGTGCGCCAGGCTCTGGGCCGGCCCGTGCTCCTGAGCTGCTGGATCCTCCGAGGCAGCCCCCAGCGCATCGCCTCGGCCGTATGGCGCTTCAAAGGGCAGCTGCTGCCTCCGCCGCCCGCCGTCCCCGTCGCCGCCGAGGCCTCCGACCACTCCGAGCTTCGCCTCGACGCTGTCACTCGCGACAGCAGCGGCAGCTACGAGTGCAGCGTCTCCAACGACGTCTCCGCTGTCTGCCTTTTCCAGGTCTCCGGTGAGCGTCCCGTAGGTCCCACCCCAGCATCCAAGCCCACCTGGGCCCAGGCTTCGCCCCAACTCCAACCCTGCCCACCCCTGACTGAGCGCCGCAGCATTCCTGCCCGCCCACACCAAGTTTAGGCCCCTGCTTTTCCCAGATCCGCCCATGCCAGGCCTAGATCCGGCCCATCTCACCCCAGTCCAACCATGAGCTCCTCTTACAGCCCTGCCCGCTCCACATGGCCCAACCAATCCAGGCCTAGGCCTTCCCCTTTCAAGGCCCGGCACCTGCTGTAAGCCCTGCCTGTTGCAGCTCTGCTCCTTGGTGGACACTGACAGCCCCACCTCTTTCAGGCCTTTCCTTGACCACGCCCATGCTTCGCCCCTCTAGGCCTCCGGCTCCAGGTCTGGGCTCTTTCCCCTAAAAGGTGCCCTGGCCGGTTTGGCTCAGCGGTTAGAGCGTCAGCCTGCGGTCCAGAGAGACCCTGATTCGGTTCCCACTAAGGGCATGTACGGCGGTTTGTTCCCGGACCTTGGGCCTGCAAGAGGCAGCCACTCCATGTGTCCCTTTTAGGACGGTCCCTCCAGCCCCGCCCACACCCGGTTTAGATCCACCCACTCAAGGCTCTAAGTCCGCACAACTGAGGAGTCTCCTCAAGTTTCAAGCCCCACTTCCTTTGTCCTTGGTCCGGGAGACTAGGGATGGGGAACCTGCTCTTTTTTGGACTGCAGGCCCAATTTGAGGGGCCTGAGCTGTAACTTAAGGGAGAGAAGTCGCCCCTCAACAGTGTCTGTAGAACCACATGGGTGCTGGGCTGACCTGCACACATTTCCTGAGCTATCACACTAGACTCCAGAGTTTCAGGCCCCTAAGTGTGCAGAAATCTCTCTTAGCTCCATCTTCTCATCGTCCTAATTGGGTGGGCTGATGGGACTGCAGACTGGAGTGAGTGGGTCAGAGAGCAGTGGAGGTGGTGGTGAGGGGCGTGGAGAACCAAGAGGGACTGACAGGGTTGCCCAACCTGTCTCTCTTCCTCCACTGGGGAGAGCCGGTTCCCTGTCAGAGCTGTTGGCAGTGCCCCTAGAAGAACCCCAGGCATGCCTGTCCCCCATTCCACTACACTCCCAGCTCTTCCAACAGCCCCAGACTGACTGGGTTCCCCTTTAGCTCTTGTTTGGATCCCCTCTCTCGAGGACAGGGGCCTAGCACCACAGGTCACTGGCCACCTCCCCAGCCCTGCCGCCAGAGGCCCCTGTGACATTTCCCACCTCCTCCCCCTCTCCCCTGTTCTCCCACACTTTCCCTGTTTCCCCACCGTTTTGCCTCTATCTCTCCTATGTTTTCTTTTCCTTCTACCTTTTCCTTGGCCCTTCTCTTCCTGTCTTCCCTCCAATCCTCTTTCGTGTGTCTTCTCCAATATCGCTGCTGTCTTTACCTTGGGCCTTTCCACTCCCTTCTCACCACCACCACCTCTTGGAATTCTCAATCTCCCTTTCTCCATCTCCCACCTTCCCTGCTACCCCACCCTCACTCTCCCCAAAACCCTCTCCCCATCTCCTCTCCTCACAATATTCCCTTCTGTCTCCCCCATCTCATCTCTGTTCCACTCTGTCCTCTCTGTCTCCCTCTCCCATCCTTCTCTCTCCCCATCCCCCACCCTTCATGTCCCCATGCCCCCTCCCCACCCTCTTAGCCAAAGCCTACAGCCCGGAGTTTTACTTCGACACCCCCAACCCCACCCGCAGCCACAAGCTGTCCAAGAACTACTCCTACGTGCTGCAGTGGACGCAGAGGGAACCTGGTGCTGTTGACCCCGTGCTCAACTACAGACTCAGTGTCCGTCAGGTGGGCCAAGGGGGAAAGGGGCCCCAGTGTCAGCTGACCCCGAGGTGCTCATGGAGGCAGGGAAAGGGGTTGGAGATGGGGCTGGGACACACTGACCCTTCTTATGGACAACTC